TTACTATGAACTAGATAAGTGGGCAATACCCTGCACTGATTTTTTTAATCTTGAAAACCCCCGGTGTCTGGCAGATCAGACAGCAAGAACATGTAGGAATAATCTGATGTGCACCTCACAAATGCTGTGATTAATACGACCTCTAGATGTCCCTGTGGCTTTGGTCAGTCACCTGAGGGACATCCAGTACACTGATTCTCTGCCGTGTATCTGCTTCTCGACTATTCCGGGAGACTGGATGAGGGATATATTTCCTTTCGCTTCAGTAACAAGAAGGAGCTCAAGCACTGCACATATTGGGTGACCCCTCCAAAGAATTCAGCTAGCATATTAATGAAGATGGAGCTGATTGGTGGCCAAAGTGACAGATGATACCATTCCCCAGAAAGGAAATAATGTTCCAGTTGCGACCAGACACATGCTAAGGTCCAGGTTTCTCTCTCCCAACTTGGACTGCGTGCTCCCTAAGGACAGGTGCTATGTAGCCATCTGAGACCAGAGTTCCATGAAAGCCAAGACTGTGTTTTCCCATAAGGTCATAAAGATTTTCTTGTTTATTTTCTTCTATAACTTTTATTGTTTTAGCCCCTCAGTTCTGTTCTTGATCGATTTTGAGTTAAATGTTTGTAATGTTATAAGATAAGGGTCAATTTTATCATTTTGCTTGCGGTTTTCCAGCTGCCCTAGCATTATTTGTTGAAAGACTATTGCTTCCTCAGTGAAACAGTCAAATTTTTGGCACCCTTGTCAAAAAATCTTTAACCATCAATTTATGGTTTATTTTTGACACTCAACTCGCTTCCATTGTTCTTTGTGTATAGCTTTAGTTGACAGTTTTGGTTTGATTCTTGTTTTTTGTTTTTCTTCTCAGCATTTTGAAAATGCCATTCCAATGCCTCTGGCTTCCACTGATTAAAAATAAGCTATAAATATTATCGAGATTTCCTTGTAAGTGACGAGTCATTTTTCTTTCACTGTTTTCAGGAGTTTCTCTTTGCCATTATTCCCTAATACTTTTACTCTGATGTCTCTAAATGTGCATCTTTTTGTGTGTCTCATACTTTGAGTTTCTTGATCCTATTAAATGAATAGATTGTTTTTCATCAAATTTAGTACATTTTACATCATTATTTTTGTATTTTTTTCATTTTCTGTTCCTTTTCTCTATCTACTCCTTCTTGTACTCCTATTACACATATGTTGGTGCATATATATCCCAAAGTTTTTTGAGGCTCTGCCTACTTTTCGTCATTACTTTCTTCTCAGTGTTATTTAGATTGCTTAATTGCTATTGATCTATCTCATTTGCTGATTCTGACTTCTGACAGTTCAATATATTGTTGAATTTTTCATTTCAATTATTTTACTTTTCAACTGTAGAATTTCAAGTTAATTCTTTAAAAAATTTCTACCTGTTTATTGACATTATTTATTTTATAAACATTACCATACCTTCCTTTACTTATTTAAATATATTTTCCTGTAATTCTTCAAAAGTGATTACAATGGCTACTTAGGAATCTTCGTTTATTAAGTCCAGCCTTTGGGCCCTCTCCCAGGAAGTTTCTGTTTATTGCTTCTTTTCCTGTGTAAGGGTCATACTTTCCAGTTTATTTGCATGTATCATATGTTTTTTCTTTAAAAGTGGTTATTTTAGATATTAGAATGTAGCAACTCTGTGTAATGGTCCTCCTCTCCCTTCAAGGTGTGCTGTTGCTTATTTATTTGTTTGAATATTTAGATAGACTGTATTAGTATAGTCTATTTCTCCCCAGGTGTGATGTCTCTGATGTCACTCCTCAGGCGACTCAACTCCGGGCTTGCTCACAGTTACCTTGAATGACAGTAGGTTTGGCAGAACTCTCTTTGGTTGTCTCTTCGATGATTTCTCTGTTAAGCTCTCTCTCTTGGCATCACACACAACTGTTAGGCTTCACTAATTGCTGACAGATTGCTTTATTATTTTTGATAATGTCGTGGAACATAAATTGCTTCATAATTGAAGCTGATTAAGCCTAGGCCCCTTTGCAAGGGTAGTGTTTGAGGCCAGGTTTGCAATTTGTTCTAAACCCAGGAAGACTCTACTTAGCCCTCACTTTCCTTGGTTTTCTCTGGTAAACAAGCTGCCCTATGGTTTAGCGTATTGCTCTTATGACTCAACAGCCTCCTCTTAAATGCTTGCCAACAAAGTCTCTCCTATTTACCAAAGTGCCTTTAGGCTGTCCCCACACTCTTTTCCAAACATAGTCAGTTCCTTTGGTGAGAACTTTGGAGTTCTCTGGGTGTTCTGGCCTTCCTCTTCCCTGGACAAATTCTCTTAGCCACTGCTTTTGAGCTGAGGGCAAATATCTCCTGGAGCTCACTGCTGATTAATGAGCAGAGCACTTTAATGGGGTGGCAACTACTATTCTTCTTGGATTGCTTCTCCCACCATTGATCCTCCACCCTAAAAGTGAGCTGGGACAAAGGCCTTTGGTGTCGCAATATTCTTGCCCTGCTGCACCTGAGGTAGAGTGACTGCCTGCCCCATGAGTGGGAGATGGCAGAGTAAGAAAGCCCCCAAACTCTTAGAGTCACCCTCCTGAAATTTAGTCTCTGTACCACAGAACTAGGGAAAGAGGTGTAAGAAATGTTGGCAGCCTCCCCATCACAGGAAGACACTGGAGGCCATAATTTGGAGCTAAAGGGGGATGGAGCCTTATCTCATTGATTGCATCTTCTAAGAGTGGAGTTACCATCATGCCCAGCTAGAAGAGATTAGGGAGGGTGCAAGTAGTGATTCCAGTACCACAGACTCTTGCTATTGTTACTATGATTTAGTAGATTTTCTTGAATAAAAGTGTTTTAATTTGCTGTATACCCTTAGGATAATTTGCAAAGGACAATTGCAAAATTACTTTTCAAGTCTTAATTGTTTTGCTAGGAGAAGGGTCCAGGGAGTTCTTCATGCCATTGTTCTGAAAGTCCTCCCTAAAGGGATTTTTTATTTAAATTGTCTTAGGTTTTCTATAAGGCTTTAAAAAAATACTCTGAATTGAGATTTTATGTATTTATAGATTTCCTTTATAATTTAGTCTCTAAAAGTTTTTAAATATAGAGTTGTGAACAACCTAAGCTGTGGACACAGTTTTAACTATTTTCTTCTAAGTCTTAGAAGCTTTCTCTTCTCTTTCTTTGGATGGTGAGAAAGAGAAAAAAGAGACTTACTCGTCTCATGAAGAAAACCCTACAGTAAGCTCTTCTTTTGCCAATGACAATTTATTCTATTGAAATGGAAACTAAACCACTTATACCCAAAGGTCTACATCAGGGGCATCCAATCTTTTTACTTCCTTGGGCCACACTGGAATAAGAAAAATTGTCTTAGGCCACACATAAAACACATTAATACTAACAATAGATGATGGGCAAAAAAAAAAAAAAAAAAAAATCACAGGCCAGGTATAGTGGCTTACGCCTGTAATCCCAGCACTTTGGGAGGCCAAGGCAGGTGGATCACGAGGTCAGG